GAAAGAATTATTTAAAAATATGCTGTTATTGTTGATATCCTACGCCACGAAGTAAGTGTTAACGCTTTATTATATCAGTATAGATATAGATAATAAAAAGATGGGAATATTTTTGTACATGTATTACAGCAGTGGGAACACACGGTTACACAAACATTACACATTCTGGAATAGTTTAGTGTTCACTGTATACTGTCATTCGAGAGTTTGTTTACACACAGCTCGACTCAGTTTCCACGTTAATGACTGGTAATATTAAGTTGTGACTACGCTTTTCTTTAGCAAAGTACAGCAATTATTGACACACGTACACGCGCCAAGTATCAAGTCAGATTAAATAAGATTTTTGTAGCCATGAAGCTGCAATACTAAAGGAGTATAGCTCGAAGATGGGAAACAAGCTGTATGTAACTACTATAGTAAAAAATATTGGCAGCTAAATGAAGAGTTTAATACTACAAATAATGATGTAATTTTGACGCAATCTAAGAATTTTGTTTAGTTTTTTCTGTCTCTTGCAGTGTTCTCTCGTGTGGGATTTTTTTACATATAAAATTTTGCAATGGTTTATATTGAATCATGCAATAAAAGTTAAGAGTATCAAAATTAATAAGCTATAACATAAAAATAACAATTATCACAAAGCCGTTCTTAATATGATATCGGTCGATATTGACGGATTTATTTTATTGCCCACCCGTTTCGTTAATGCGAACGCACTTGTATACGACAATTAAATTCACTAATAACGCATACTTTCTACCGCTATACACTTCAATTAGTTTTATGTTTAAATAATTGCGACGTTATCATTTGTTATTGTGGTCTCGTATTGGATCGCTTGTATTAAAATTATTGAAATAAAGAATTAAAGAAATTTGACTGTTTCGAAAAGTTACGACTTTGCGTCCTTCAGGAAAAAACTCTTTAAAAACCGGTAAAAACAAAATATATATTTTTTTGTAAATGCACATTTATGTTCTGGAATGAATTTAAAATACTTCTGCACTATATTTACAAAGTATATTAAAATTATTTTACGATGAAATCGCTATTAATCTACTTTACGATTTTATATTACAGCTATTAACTGCAAGACAGATTAAATCAAAGTCGAAACTTAATCATGTCCAGTTAGTTCTATAAACAATTTACACGACAGAGCTCACTTAGTAACCTATTTAATTAACTTATACCATCCTTAACAACCCGCACGGGACTAGAACGTTCTGGAATATTAAGTAACCAAACGTCCTGTAATTACAGCCTCCAGCAAACGGAGCAAACCAGTTACCTTAACCCACTAATCATTTATCTTCATAAGTGTACAAACTGTGCATTAGAACTAAATAATGCACTACAATTAACCAGTTGGACCGGTGTCAATTCCCGCTGCTTCAAGCAATACATAGAAGCTACTGTAATCTTCGAATGTATCATTAAAATACAAATTAAACCTTAAAAGTGTTACATTAGTTTCAAATTAGACTGCAAGATCCCGCTAAGTTAGTCCCGTAGTTGCATTTCAAAGTACTCTTACTTTCCTATCGTAGTTTGTAATCCATCGGGATGTTCTATTCATTGACCGGTGATACATCAATTATAATCTTTCGTATGCCAAGTGCTATCTCTAAACATCTCGACAATATCGCTTGCTTCTATCTAACACCTTCGTAAATTTGTATGCTGTCATATCAATGTAGTTAACTAGCTGTTCCCGTACAACTTCATCCGCATAAAATTATGTAAATTCTATTTTATTGTTTACATTTATCAGATTATCAATTAAAAATGTCAAAATGACATGACAAGATGATACCCTTGCTTCCTTGATGTTGGCAGCAACTTATGGTCTCTTTCCCACATTAGGGTTTTTATCCAAAATATTTACGCCCTAAGTTTAATGGCGTTAAAATATATAGCCTGAAGCGTGACGCAAGTGTAGGGCTTTTTATTAATAAAGAATTGTTCAAAAATATGCTGTAATTGCTGACATCTTAGGCAACAAAGAAGTTTGTGTTTACGCTTTACTATAATAGTATAGATGATTAAGTGCCTATATCCTAATGGTTAAGGTTTCGGATTTCCGATCACGACGTTAAGGGTTAGAATCCCGAATTGAATCTTAGTTGGTAGCGAAAGATGAAAAGTAACAAAAATCTGCTAGTATTAAAAATGCTTTCATACAACAAGACAAAGTCAATCGATTTTATTTTAAAAAATACAACCCAATATACAAAGGACACAGTACGAAGAGTATTATATTTTCATTTATTTATGTAATGTTCATGGTTAGTACTTAGTTAAAAGGTTCTAAAAAACCCAAAAATGAGAATAAAATCCACATTAACACCTTTTAATGATTTTTAGGTAAATATTTTCGAACAGTAATTCTAAAGGGTTTAAAGAGAATTAGTCGATAAGAAGAACTGAAACAACTACCTTATTTTATACTTGGACCAACTTAAGAAACCACATCTTAGCCGCTATGTCATCTCCATTACGAGAATAAAACTCAGCTCAAACCTGCTTTTAAGTTGCACTTGTTACTTAAGAACAGTGCTTTACTGCCATCAAATTAATTTTGCGAAATATTTATGTCTCGACAAAGAGTTCCTTCCCACGGTAATTTAAAAAATCGTTAAAATAAAACTTTTTTCATGGAAAAATTTTCTATGATAAGATTTTCCCTAATTTCGCTTACAAGATAACAGTTAAATAAATTAAAGAATTAAAACTTAAAATCGCCAAATCATATTACACTTTTAAGTAAAGAGAGAATTTTGAGTGCGCTCGTTTTGAAAATCTTGACATCAAACATCTATTCTACACAAGTGTAGTACAAGCACAAGCCCTCTTGAAACTAGTCGACTCGTGCCAAGTATTTTTTGCAACGTAATACATGATTCGCTAGACGCGATTTAATCAGTTATGTTTCTATTTTTAAAGCAAAAAAAAATAACCAAAAGTAAATCATTTTTAAAACTTTTTATAACATCTTACTTAAGACTAGTCCTAAAAATGTATTTCGTATGACGTATATATCTATACTAATATAATAAAGCGTAAACACACACTTCTTTATTGCCAAAGATGTCAGCAATCACAGCATATTTTCAAATAATTCTTCTTTTAAAAAAAAGCCCTACACTTACGTCACGCTTTAGGATATACATTTTCACGCCGTTAAACTTAGGTGTAAATATTTTGGTTAAAAACCCTAATGTGGGAAAGAGGCCGTAAGTTGTTGCCAACATCAAGGAAGCAAAGTTGCCAAGATTTGACATTGCAATTGATCATTTGACAAATGTGAACAATGAAATGATTTTTTTAATAATTTTATGCGGATGAAGTCGCATGGGAACAGCTAGTAAGTTTATAAAAACAGTTTTCCAATTACGGTCAAGCCTTGTTATTTCTTAGATTCCGTTGCAGTTCTATAATAGTTGAGCCTAGAAATCTATTTGCCCTCAAAATATTCATTCTACGCCACAAATTACCTTCACTCCGATGAACGGTACGCCAACGACAAATGGTAAAACTTAAATGTAACCTTTGTGGTCATTGTTTCTTCGGGCCTAAATATCTAGTCTCGTACGTAACAATGGCCCATCGCACGCACCTCCGGGCCTTTAAGTACTAGAAATATGTTTACTACTTCCTTACCTTTGCATATAAAACCCACTACTAATTTACGAAGCGGGTTAATGGTGACATCACAGTGGTCGATTTAGCAAACTTTCGCAAGTACGAATGTAATAAATATGAAGCAATACGTCATCGTGTCGCTTAAATATATTAGTTCGTATATTTAACGATGGTGCGACGTATGATTGATTGTGAGTGTTCTTAAAGCGATGCGAGTGGCCGGGGGGTCCGGCCCACCGCGGTGTGAGTTTGTCTACGTCATTGCGACTCGCTTGTTGTACCGTCGTTACATTTTGAACAGTGTTCTAGATGTTTGTCCGGTGACAGCAAACATTCAATGCTGGCTACAGATTCGAAATATTGTGTCAATAGCACGCGCTGGCCTTAAGTGACAACGCCCCGGGACACACCGACTACACAAACATTCATGAAGTTAACAAATGCGATAATAATTAAAGTTGACAAACACAAGTACGTTTGTGACACGACTTGTTTAATAGATTTCACTCAGAAGCATAAAAATAGTAGGAAAGAATCTTTATTGATTATAAAAAGATTTCTTCGTTCCTCGGAATGGGAACTAAGTGAAATCTATTTGTGAACAATGCCTTTGAATTTTTGCGATATCTCGTGAGCTTTCACTCGGATCGTGTTACAATTTGCTCGGCGTTTTCATTCACATGTCAAATGTACTTATTAGAAATCAAATAGAGCGCTATTTGATTTTACTTTTTTTATAACCATACTTGAAGGTAGCAATTTGTTTTGTTATCAAGACTGTACTTATTGTTAATCTAATTAGCTGAATTAGAAAACAAAACCTAACTTGTAGCTTTTCATTTTTCCCTTCCTTAAAGTGAATACTTATTGATTTTCGCATTATACAGTATATAACAAATATTAAGTTTCACATGAATCTTACAATTTCACGCAGAACATGCGAAAGCTCGAAATTTTACTGCAGTACGCGAAACGTTAGGAAATGTGTAAAGTGACAACAGGATAGAAATGTGATGCTCCGTTGTCAGGCAGCTGTAAATGTAACACGTAACGTTAGAATTACGTGATCGGAACCGTATTTTAGCGGTCACTATAACCGTCTCATATGTGTAGATATGAATCTTTTAACTATGCTCTGTCCATTGCGATGCAATGTAATTCTTTCAGGTAATAAAAGTTATAATGGCGCACAAATGTTTTACTTCGTTCGATAAGAATCTTCTGTCATCATTTTATTACCCTTAGTCTAGAGAGAAAAGGTTGGTCCTTGCATTTTGAGTCTCCGTCTATACTTATGACTTTAACCTTACTAGGCAGCGGCGTTATTTTTATTGATGTTTTCCTCATTACAGTTGCGGGATGCGCGATGCGGTGGTCAAACGGCGGTGCGGGGGGCGGCTAGCATGGCGGCGCTGCTG